TTGTTGTTTGGGTGGTTGGTGTATGTGTATTTTATTGGTGTTGACAGCCTTTCTGGCAAGACACTGTTTGTGCAGTGGACAGTGTTTAATCGGTGAGGCAAGATGGAGAGTTTTGGCTGTTTAGTTAATCCCAGGTTGATGTGTATGTCACAGCCTGTTTCATGTGCAGCCTACAGGTGAGTTGTGGTGTGGTATTTGTTGCGTGAAGTTGAGAGTGTTTGTTGTAGTAGTAGGTGTATTTGTAGGGTGTGTGTGTGTGTGTGTGTGTGTGCGGAGGCGTTCTGGGATATGTGTGTATGTGAATTGTTTGAGTTTGTGTTATTGGTGGTGTTGTCGGGTGAGTGTGTTGGTGATGTTTTGTGTGTTTGTTTGTAGGTTGATGGATGAAGGAAGGAAGGAAGGAGGTGTTTTTTGGTGTGTTGTGATATGGTGATGAGTGATTGTGCTGAGAAGTCGTTAATTTGACTTTCTTGAATTTATGTATTGGTCCTCCTGAATTTATTTGTTTTGATATTGTTTGTTGTGTGAGTCTGGGATGTGGGATGAATGAATGTTGTTTTTTATGTTATTTGTTTTGCAGGTTGTGGGTTGGTGTTGTTCGTGTGTGTCTCTTGCGGAGGAGGATGATCGTCGGAGATGCGAGTGAGTATTGAATGGATGTAGTAGTTGATGTGTTGTTGTGGTGTTGTTGATGTTTGTTTTTCAGTGTGTATGCCAATGTGATGTATTGTGTTTGTTTGTGTGTGTTGAGTTGTGTTTGAGTTTGATGTTTTGTGTCTGGGAGTATTGGTGTGTATGGTGTATGCGTTGATATTGTTGAATGTTTGGTGTGTGAGTGTGATGAGTTTGTGTTGATTGTGAGTGTGTTAGTGGTGTTAGTGGATGTAGTTGTTGTGTGTGGTGTGTCTGTTGTTTTTGTAGTTGGTTGTGGTGTTTGTGTTGTCGGTGTGTTGCGTATGCGTGAATCGATGCGACATGATGTGATATTGTGTGTTATGATGTGGTTGGTTGTTGTGTATTGATTTAGTGGTGGTATTTGTAGTTGTTGTAGTATGAGTGTTATTTGTTGAGTTTGTTGTTTGGGTGGTTGGTGTATGTGTATTTTATTGGTGTTGACAGCCTTTCTGGCAAGACACTGTTTGTGCAGTGGACAGTGTTTAATCGGTGAGGCAAGATGGAGAGTTTTGGCTGTTTAGTTAATCCCAGGTTGATGTGTATGTCACAGCCTGTTTCATGTGCAGCCTACAGGTGAGTTGTGGTGTGGTATTTGTTGCGTGAAGTTGAGAGTGTTTGTTGTAGTAGTAGGTGTTGTGTGTGTGTGTGTGTGTGTGCGGAGGCGTTCTGGGATTGTGTGTATGTGAATTGTTTGAGTTTGTGTTATTGGTGGTGTTGTCGGGTGAGTGTGTTGGTGATGTTTTGTGTGTTTGTTTGTAGGTTGATGGATGAAGGAAGGAAGGAAGGAGGTGTTTTTTGGTGTGTTGTGATATGGTGATGAGTGATTGTGCTGAGAAGTCGTTAATTTGACTTTCTTGAATTTATGTATTGGTCCTCCTGAATTTATTTGTTTTGATATTGTTTGTTGTGTGAGTCTGGGATGTGGGATGAATGAATGTTGTTTTTTATGTTATTTGTTTTGCAGGTTGTGGGTTGGTGTTGTTCGTGTGTGTCTCTTGCGGAGGAGGATGATCGTCGGAGATGCGAGTGAGTATTGAATGGATGTAGTAGTTGATGTGTTGTTGTGGTGTTGTTGATGTTTGTTTTTCAGTGTGTATGCCAATGTGATGTATTGTGTTTGTTTGTGTGTGTTGAGTTTGATGTTTTGTGTCTGGGAGTATTGGTGTGTATGGTGTATGCGTTGATATTGTTGAATGTTTGGTGTGTGAGTGTGTTAGTGGATGTAGTTGTTGTGTGTGGTGTGTCTGTTGTTTTTGTAGTTGGTTGTGGTGTTTGTGTTGTCGGTGTGTTGCGTATGCGTGAATCGATGCGACATGATGTGATATTGTGTGTTATGATGTGGTTGGTTGTTGTGTATTGATTTAGTGGTGGTATTTGTAGTTGTTGTAGTATGAGTGTTATTTGTTGAGTTTGTTGTTTGGGTGGTTGGTGTATGTGTATTTTATTGGTGTTGACAGCCTTTCTGGGCAAGACACTGTTTGTGCAGTGGACAGTGTTTAATCGGTGAGGCAAGATGGAGAGTTTTGGCTGTTTAGTTAATCCCAGGTTGATGTGTATGTCACAGCCTGTTTCATGTGCAGCCTACAGGTGAGTTGTGGTGTGGTATTTGTTGCGTGAAGTTGAGAGTGTTTGTTGTAGTAGTAGGTGTGTGTGTGTGTGTGTGCGGAGGCGTTCTGGGATATGTGTGTATGTGAATTGTTTGAGTTTGTGTTATTGGTGGTGTTGTCGGGTGAGTGTGTTGGTGATGTTTTGTGTGTTTGTTTGTAGGTTGATGGATGAAGGAAGGAAGGAGGTGTTTTTTGGTGTGTTGTGATATGGTGATGAGTGATTGTGCTGAGAAGTCGTTAATTTGACTTTCTTGAATTTATGTATTGGTCCTCCTGAATTTATTTGTTTTGATATTGTTTGTTGTGTGAGTCTGGGATGTGGGATGAATGAATGTTGTTTTTTATGTTATTTGTTTTGCAGGTTGTGGGTTGGTGTTGTTCGTGTGTGTCTCTTGCGGAGGAGGATGATCGTCGGAGATGCGAGTGAGTATTGAATGGATGTAGTAGTTGATGTGTTGTTGTGGTGTTGTTGATGTTTGTTTTTCAGTGTGTATGCCAATGTGATGTATTGTGTTTGTTTGTGTGTGTTGAGTTTGATGTTTTGTGTCTGGGAGTATTGGTGTGTATGGTGTATGCGTTGATATTGTTGAATGTTTGGTGTGTGAGTGTGTTAGTGGTGTTAGTGGATGTAGTTGTTGTGTGTGGTGTGTCTGTTGTTTTTGTAGTTGGTTGTGGTGTTTGTGTTGTCGGTGTGTTGCGTATGCGTGAATCGATGCGACATGATGTGATATTGTGTGTTATGATGTGGTTGGTTGTTGTGTATTGATTTAGTGGTGGTATTTGTAGTTGTTGTAGTATGAGTGTTATTTGTTGAGTTTGTTGTTTGGGTGGTTGGTGTATGTGTATTTTATTGGTGTTGACAGCCTTTCTGGGCAAGACACTGTTTGTGCAGTGGACAGTGTTTAATCGGTGAGGCAAGATGGAGAGTTTTGGCTGTTTAGTTAATCCCAGGTTGATGTGTATGTCACAGCCTGTTTCATGTGCAGCCTACAGGTGAGTTGTGGTGTGGTATTTGTTGCGTGAAGTTGAGAGTGTTTGTTGTAGTAGTAGGTGTGTGTGTGTGTGTGTGCGGAGGCGTTCTGGGATATGTGTGTATGTGAATTGTTTGAGTTTGTGTTATTGGTGGTGTTGTCGGGTGAGTGTGTTGGTGATGTTTTGTGTGTTTGTTTGTAGGTTGATGGATGAAGGAAGGAAGGAGGTGTTTTTTGGTGTGTTGTGATATGGTGATGAGTGATTGTGCTGAGAAGTCGTTAATTTGACTTTCTTGAATTTATGTATTGGTCCTCCTGAATTTATTTGTTTTGATATTGTTTGTTGTGTGAGTCTGGGATGTGGGATGAATGAATGTTGTTTTTTATGTTATTGTTTTGCAGGTTGTGGGTTGGTGTTGTTCGTGTGTGTCTCTTGCGGAGGAGGATGATCGTCGGAGATGCGAGTGAGTATTGAATGGATGTAGTAGTTGATGTGTTGTTGTGGTGTTGTTGATGTTTGTTTTTCAGTGTGTATGCCAATGTGATGTATTGTGTTTGTTTGTGTGTGTTGAGTTGTGTTTGAGTTTGATGTTTTGTGTCTGGGAGTATTGGTGTGTATGGTGTATGCGTTGATATTGTTGAATGTTTGGTGTGTGAGTGTGTTAGTGGTGTTAGTGGATGTAGTTGTTGTGTGTGGTGTGTCTGTTGTTTTTGTAGTTGGTTGTGGTGTTTGTGTTGTCGGTGTGTTGCGTATGCGTGAATCGATGCGACATGATGTGATATTGTGTGTTATGATGTGGTTGGTTGTTGTGTATTGATTTAGTGGTGGTATTTGTAGTTGTTGTAGTATGAGTGTTATTTGTTGAGTTGTTGTTTGGGTGGTTGGTGTATGTGTATTTTATTGGTGTGACAGCCTTTCTGGGCAAGACACTGTTTGTGCAGTGGACAGTGTTTAATCGGTGAGGCAAGATGGAGAGTTTTGGCTGTTTAGTTAATCCCAGGTTGATGTGTATGTCACAGCCTGTTTCATGTGCAGCCTACAGGTGAGTTGTGGTGTGGTATTTGTTGCGTGAAGTTGAGAGTGTTTGTTGTAGTAGTAGGTGTGTGTGTGGTGTGTGTGTGCGGAGGCGTTCTGGGATATGTGTGTATGTGAATTGTTTGAGTTTGTGTTATTGGTGGTGTTGTCGGGTGAGTGTGTTGGTGATGTTTTGTGTGTTTGTTTGTAGGTTGATGGATGAAGGAAGGAAGGAAGGAGGTGTTTTTTGGTGTGTTGTGATATGGTGATGAGTGATTGTGCTGAGAAGTCGTTAATTTGACTTTCTTGAATTTATGTATTGGTCCTCCTGAATTTATTTGTTTTGATATTGTTTGTTGTGTGAGTCTGGGATGTGGGATGAATGAATGTTGTTTTTTATGTTATTTGTTTTGCAGGTTGTGGGTTGGTGTTGTTCGTGTGTGTCTCTTGCGGAGGAGGATGATCGTCGGAGATGCGAGTGAGTACTGAATGGATGTAGTAGTTGATGTGTTGTTGTGGTGTTGTTGATGTTTGTTTTTCAGTGTGTATGCCAATGTGATGTATTGTGTTTGTTTGTGTGTGTTGAGTTTGATGTTTTGTGTCTGGGAGTATTGGTGTGTATGGTGTATGCGTTGATATTGTTGAATGTTTGGTGTGTGTGTTTGGTGGATGTAGTTGTTGTAGTTGGTTGTGGTGTGTCTGTTGTTTTTGTAGTTGGTTGTGGTGTTTGTGTTATTGGTGGTGTTGTCGGGTGAATGTGTTGGGCGTTTGTTTGTGTGTTCAGTTAATCTAGTTCGGTGTGTATGTCGAAGCCTTTTTCATGTGCAGCCTAGGTGTGGGTTGTGGTGTATTTTTTGCGGGAAGTTGAGTGTTTTTTGTGGTATTCTGTTTGGTTCTGTTGTTTGTGTTGGTATGTCTAGAGGACTTTTTGCTTGTTCGGCTGTGTGTTGTTCGAAAGGTTTATGTGTTGGTTTTTTTCTTTCTTAGTTGATATAATGTCAACTGTTTCAGGAGGTAACTATGCCGGAGATTTATATTATGGGCCTTATTTTGAAAAGAGTGGAAAAGTTACAATGAATATATTTACGTATGGTTTTGAAATCATTGGATGTTGAATATAGATATATACAAACATAGCTATATTATGGTCGTATATAGTTGTTTATTGTGTAGAGAAGGAAAAGTGAGAAATAAAGAGAAAATTGAAGCAAAATAGTTTGTTTATTTACATTCAGTTGTTTTTAACGTTCTTTCCCTTTCGTTACATTCCGCTTTCTGGTTAGGATAGAAAATTGAATATGTTGATTACATACTCTTTCATATACAACAAGTACAATTGAGAACATAAATACACAAATATCATAGTGACAATAGTATTGTTAATGATACACAATATGTGGACAATAATATTTTTGAAAATAAAAAAGAGGAAAAATGATCATACTACTAATAGTAGCATTCATGATGAACTGGAATTATTGGGTTTCTGACTTCCGTATTTCATCCGCGTGTGCTTACTCTTCAATATCAGCCTGCTTGAGGAATGCCTTTACCTAAATCTGCATACCAAAAAGAAAAAAATATGAAAATTGCGACAAGGGTTTCACTATGCTGAATATACTGAAAGATTTATAATTATCTACAGCAGGACCAGGCGTACTACTTGCTGCGGTATACAAGAATAGTGGTGCAGTGCTCTTAGTCAGGTTAACGGAAGTGTTAACCAGTATATGGGAATCAAATACGATCCCCTCTAACTAGTCTAAATCACTGATTATTTCAGTCTTCAAGAAGGTCGACAAGACCTCTTGTGATAGTCACAGAGAAATCAGCCTGACGAACATGGTGTCCAAGAATTCGGGTCCCATAATTCTTCGACGCCTGGTTGGAGCTCGAGAACAGCAAGCCTAAGAAAACCAGGTAGGATTTTAACACAGCGGTGAGTGTATTCACCAAATATTCACACTGCGCCAGGCTCTGAAACACAGGCACGCTTACCGACGCATGACAAAAGCTATATTTCTCAACCTGAAGGCGGCATTCAACTCCGTTGATCGAGAAGTCTTATGGCGATGCCTCTCGAACAGCAGTTCGGTCTGTTCTACTGTATGGCTGTGAAACATGGTCATTGAAGGTGGAGGACATGAGAAGGCTGGCTTCAGGTGTTTGGTCACCGTTGCCTTTATAGTATAGACCGTATTCTGTGGTGTCACCACGTGAATAATGCAGAAGTCAGGTGTAGTGTTTTATGGAGTAGAGGTAAATCAGTTGACGAGGTTATGAACCTTCATCGATTGAGATGGTTGGGACACGTGTTACGTATACCTAGTCACCGATTGCCTCGTCACACAATGTTGGCCGAAGTATGTTCAGGCTGGAAGAAGGCCCGAGGTGACCAGACTAAAAGATGGCATGAATGTATGAATTGTTTGACTGTTGGTTTGAGCCATGTGGGGCTATGCAGACTAGCCGGTTAGGGTCCGCGGGACAAGAGAAACCAGTAGCTGGAGACTCTAGGTGATGGCATGGCTCAGAACCAATGTCATTGGTGTCGATATATACACACATTATCATCATGTTAACGACGCCATATCGAATCTCACCATTTTATCATTCCTTTTTTCTTTCGTCTCGTACCTAATATTTCTTTTGACTGAATTTTCTTATCTTCATCTTTCACCTCACTGCCTTTTTACTTGATGTACTAATATGAGCTGTGGCAACTTGGGCGTTACGCAGTAATGCCTGGTCGTATGTTAATATTGATTGAAATAATTATCTACCAACTGGGTGATTTTCTTATGCGTCAGAGTTTTCCATTCAAATTCTTAAAGAACATCGGTAATTATCGAGGGATTTCTATTAAATTAAATTTCAAGGGATAGCTGAAGGTTCTAAGTTATTCCACATTAATTTTTGACTTTGTGATAGAAGATTGGCATTTACTTTTTCCTCCCAATTTCGTATGTACAGAGCTTGTGACTTTAGTTGCAAGAAAAATAATTATTTATTCTCTAATCACCTTATTCTCGTTTACCCTGTCATGTTACCCTCGTATTCCTTCAGTTTAGAATTATTCAGCAGTATAGTTCTTGTTTTTCGATAATGTAACTTCATTCACAACTTTAACCGTTCGTTCTGTTCCGTTGTACCTTATTTATCACTTAACATCTTTAGATACTGTTACTTTTCACAGTTCATGATGGTGTGGGATCCCTCTCGTTGTTCTCTGATGTTCTACCTTTAACATTTGTTTATATCGTATCTTTACTTAATCTTGGGAAATAATTCGTGTCCTTTATATTCTTATCTGATTTGCTTTGGAAGTAGTCTTGCCGTTTTTATTATCGACGCACTCTCTGTAACGACAAACTCACAGATTTCTCATGATCTGAAGTTTGTAATTTATTAGAGCCGTATTTCAGACAAATCCTGAATTTTGGGTTTTATGCGTAACTCTAGCATTCAGTTTATTGTCGACGAATCACTTGGTTTTTTTTTCATTTTTGCATGTCTTAGAAAGAAATTCACAAGAATTTTAACGATGAATATAAAATCACTTACTTGCATGAACTCTTTTCACATGACCCTCTAAATATCTTTTCAGTCGAAATGTCTTAGGACAGTGTGGACATTGAAATTTATGATCTGAAGTAAAATAAAAACAGTATTATGTATTACATTTGTATAAGTGAGATCTAGGAATTATTCCTAACATATGAAATAAAAGTCAACAACAGGAGTGTTATCGAATTCTCTTATACAACTGTGATGATTTGAATTGACCTCAAGATGGGGAAGTCAACTAATTTCAAGTTATTTAATTACTTTGAGTTAGTCAATTTATATAGAAGCTGAGTAATGAAAATGTGTTTAAATATGAGAAACACAAGTCTTAATCCGAACTGTGATCAGGTGTTGCATGAATTCCGATTTTGTGTTTCATATGACATAGCAACTTCTATGTCTGTAGATATATGGGTAACCAATTTAATTTAATTGTGCATAAAACAATGGAGGTTGTTTGAAAATGATTTTGTGTAAAAGATAATATATAATCAGGTTGATGAACTGTTTAATTCCAAAGAAAGCAATCCAGAAATAATTATTCTGTTGACAGATTGAGAAATCAATCGGTTGTTGGTTTTCAACAAACAATTAGAGGATATGAGAATACGAAAATTTGAACAAGATGTAAAGATAGTTGTAGCACACATATTCAATAAACTTGATTATTTCGGAACCGCATATACAAACATTTTCTTCATGCTATTTCACTTTGAAATAGATTATATGCAAATATTGTCTATCTGTGACAATTTCAACTTAAAAATTGGATCATCTAATTATTCTGTTATTTTATCCTATACATTCACAATTTGATGGATGTTGTTTTATCTTCACACTACTCAGTGTACAATCATTATAGTTCATGAATGGTAAGATAAAACATATTTTTAAGCATATAAAGAAACAAACCTTTATGAACAATGTTTGAATGATAACGCAATGCACAATGAGAATTGAATGAACGACCACATAGTTCACATTTCAATAAATTGCCTAAATATGTAACAATAAAAATCCATATAATGTACACAAAATATAGGAATTAAAGCTTAGATCTTAAAGTCATATAAGTGAAAAATAATCAAGACGGTTTATCATCAAATAGAAAATATATGCAGTGAGTATGTTTTAGCATACTTAATATTTACAGTCAAGAACTACTGAAGAGTAATGTAATATTTATGCAAATGAAGAGTTAACTAGTTCTTAATTAATACAACACACCACTTAAACGTTGCTAAGATTGGAAGAATATAATGATAACAGTTAAGTTATTAAGTTAAATCATCGTCTTTAGGCATATATGAACAGCATACCACATCGAGGTAGGTAGTGTGCGCAGTATATGTTCAAGCCATCTGAGTCGACTAAAGTTCAAAACCTCATTAATCTACTTGCCTGATACCCTTTGCCTGCCCTACTCATTACTCACACAGTGATTTCATCAGATGCGAGCAATGCTACGAGGCAGGTCATATCTCGATAGTCATCACTACAGATGAAGCAAGTTGGCAAACGGCCCTTTTGTATCCGAGCTGAGATTTTATCAGCAACCAACTAGTTCGGGCTGGTGCGCCCTCAAGTAGATGAAGTAATTAACACATTCCACTACTTCACTCCCTATCATTAAACTGGGAGTTGTACAGCAGACCAATTCTGGAGCATCATCTTACATTTGACAGGTGCCAGCGAAACACATGCCGAACATATTCAGATTTCTGCTCAATACGTTCAGAAGACCTTGGATTTCGTCAACATCTTTGCGTAGCAGGACAATATCGTCTGCATACTGAGTCAACCAGACAACCTTCAGGTCAATACGTGTGAAGTCAGACACACCCAAGGTTATGTCCATTAGTACATCTGTGACGAAGATAAATGGGAACAGTGACTGCCATCCCTGTGGGACACCGCTAATTGCTGTCAGTTTATATGACAACTCTCCATAAGCCGTGACACGGCTGCATGAGCTCGGTGAGACAGCTTTGATTGGCGTTATATAACTGCTCGGTACTTTTCAATTAGAAACAGTCAAAGCACCTCACAGTTGACAGAGTCGAATGTCGCCTTCAATTCAAGAAATGTGGTAAGAGTTGGCCTTTAGCTGGTAAGTGTGCCTGTGTTCCAGAACCTATCGGAAGGTGGAAATCTGATCAATGCATCTTCATCTAAGTCTGGGACTCGCTTGGTTTACGTGAATTTGCTGGTCTCGAGCTCTAGTTAGGTGTCGGATAACTATGGACGCTAGCATCTTGGATATAATACTGGTCAAACTACTTGCGTTATGGTTGTCACAAGATTTTTCTCCCTTATAGACTGGGATGAACAGCGAAGTACACTAGTCTGACGACACAACCTAGTACCTCTGTCACTTTAATCAGCAATTTCCTACCTCCATCCTTGGTAACGTTTGGTGGCAAATTGTCTGGTCCTGCTGCTTTGGATCGTTTCAGTTTCGATAGAGCCTTCTCAACTTCAAGGAGAGTTAGAGGACCGATATATACGTGCCATTCAGATTCAGGCTGGATGTGGGGCAACTGAAGCGCTGCTGATGACCGGTTGAACTGCGCTTCAAAGTGTTCTGTCCAAAGCAGTGACCGTCTGTCTTGAGATGTCAGGAAACCATCCGTTTCAGCAGTGATTTCACAAACCATCATATTTTAGCTGGCATCCTTAATAAACCCAAATAAATAGCGAATTCTGAAGACTTTTCAGTCACTCGCCTTCACCACCCACCCACTGGTTACGTTCATGAGAAAGACTCTTGGTGAATTTACGTTCATTCTGCCTTCATTCCTCATTGGGGTCAGAGCTAGGTGGAATGAGTCTTCTGGCATCAATCAGTTTGAATGACGTTCCGGAAATTCAATGACGTTTGCTAACCTTCGGGTGAAGGCTAGCAAACGTCTTAGTCGCTGTTTCGACAGCAGACCATACCAGATCATACCAGGATTCCTCAGGATGAGCATTGCTGATGAATACTTAGCTAATTCCTCCCTAAATATGTATTTGGCATCCTTGTCTTCCAACCGACCTTAGGTAGGCTTTACTATCGTCTGTTTCCTACAACCAGAAAGGCAAGGACATAAATGAGCCCACACTAGCGCGTGATCGGAGTCCAAGCTGGTATCCCAGAAAGAGCGACAATCCTCCATCGATGCCTTATAGTAATATGATTTATCTGTGTCCATCGTTGATTTCAAGTTGGAGGAAGCCATGTGAGACAGTGTTTCTCTTTATGCCTAAAGTTGGTGATGGCCAGAAACAAGTGATTATTGGGACAAAATTGCAAACGATCACCGTTTTTGACATTGGATTCCGTAAATATCTCGAAGATGCCCTTCCGATTGGCTTAGTTTCCCTACTTGACCGGTAAAGTCATCTGTCATTATCACTACATCTGAACGTTTTGCCTTTGTAGTGAAAATTGAGAGCTGATGATAGAATTCATCTTTTGCATCATCTGAACTGCAGTAGGTGGGTGCTTAGGCGGAGATTACGAATAGGCACTGGTTGGTCTCATGATCCTTCCTAGTTCTTACAGATCCGTTCAGTCAAACAGCACATAGACGGTTGTTTACTGCAATCCAGTCGAGGAGCGCACTTTCTGCTCTACAATTCAATGCTATGTCTACACCAGCGACTCCATGAGAGCTAACCACTGGGTTTCCGGGTACCCATGAGGCGAATTTTGAAGATGTATTGCATTGGTCAGTTGAGGTCAATTTAAAAACCACTCTAGGATTCTGTATAGGTTTTTCACAGACACAGCATACATCTATGGTCCGAGATTCCAGAGTTCTGGCGAGTGATGCTTGCTGTTCAATTTGATATCAAATTCGGACGTTGAAAGCTCTTACATGAAATAGATTGCCTGGTCTAAAGAGACTAGAAATAAGGAATCAACAGCTTTGATCGTTGAGAATGATAGCAGAGTGAGAGGTTGGATAAGGCGTAATAGGCTTAATATCAGTATCAGGAGGTGAAGGAAAACGAAGAGAGAATTGAGAGGGATAGGTTGTTTGATTGGGTGTTGGGAACTATTGCGAGCATGCACGCAGTTGACACTTCCCAGCTGCCCACAAATATAGAAGGCTAGTTCTTCTTGAGGTACCTGAAAAACAAGACTAGTGCGTGACCGCAGAGGACATCTGTTTGAGGCCGGTCACACACGGCTTTTTTGGAAGTTTGAGATTTTAGTTTTTTGCGTTCGAATCTGGCTGAATCCTCATCGCAAGTACTGACAGGCTGCAGGCAGATTTGGGTGTGCTATTTTTGGGCCGACGTTCTCTAGCCCCCCTCCTCATAGAAAACGTAACATCAGCGGGGTGCTGCTGGTCATCCATAGGAAACATATGGTTGTCACACCCTGGTTCAGTCAGCAGTAGCAACGATCATGCGTTGGTCCGAGAGCGTATGTGCTTGCGTCTCAATGGAGGTAGGAAAAAATTGGCAACGAAACCACTACGAGTGCTGCTGGACAACGAAAACACCAAAGCTGCTTTCAGTGAGAAGTTGGCTAGGCAGCTATCGGAACAAAAAACTATCATCCAGAAGAAGCTTGGTGCCATCTTCAGTCTGCTGTAAAAGCAGCGTTGAAGACTGTAGCCGATTGCGAAAGAGTGGCTGAAAAGAGCCAGTGGATATCAGCAGCTTCTTCCGAACTAATGGATGCACATGAACACACCCTGCAGGCTCTGAGTACAACGAATGGCGAGCACAACTTAAAAGTAGATTGAGAAAAAGTCTACGCAACAATCGCGAACAGTGGTGGGCAATGAAGGCTAAAGAGATGGAAAAGGCGGCGGCGGCGACTGGTAACAGTAGACAGTTATTTAGACTTATTAAGGAGACTGGGGGTAAAAGGTCAACAACAGTTAGTGAGGCTATAGCGGAGAAGGATGGGTCTGCAATTCACTCGCAGGGGAGATGATTGCAACGATGGGCTAGAACACTTCGAGGAACAGTTTAACTGGCCTTCAGCCACCACTGCATTCCGCGCTATTCCAGTCAGGATCCTGAATGGAACATTGAGATAGCCCCCGCCCCCAAGGTTAAAGAAACTACAGAGGGCAGAGTGAAATGGCGACGTGCAACTGAAACCCTATGTTCCACTAGGAACCCAAGGGACAAATAATAGTTTATATATATATATATATATATATATATATATATATATATATACTGAATTGGTTCGTGATCTATGAAGCATATAATTTAGGCTTACCTTCATGGACAATTGTGATATGTTCTTTTAAATACCATCTTGATGCAAACTTCTTGTTACAATGATTACAAGAGATTTTTATTCCTGATAAAAAAAAGATTGTATGCAATAAGAAGTTCAATGAGATTTCGCATTTTGTAGTGATTTAAGTGTAAAACAAATAACCTGACTAAGAATACGCATATCCGCATAAGGTATAAATCAAAATCCTCAAGAAATACATTCATAGTAGGCTGAATAGCATTCTAACCCGAAGGTTTCTTATTTTTTATACTAGTGCCATAACAGAGTATTCGAGTGCCACGTAAATCAACATCTCTATAGGAATAATGGAGTAAGTAAACTACAAAAAAATGAATGCTTTGAACATACATCATTTTATTCATTCGCATAATGCAGTTAGTTGCCTTCCCTAATTTTAATAAGTATAACATATCCGTGGGAAAATAATTTAATATATTTGGTTAAAGTAAATGTAATCTATTCAATCATAAGAATCATACTACATGCATACCATATTAGCAATCATCATTAACAACAATAACATCTCATATGCTTGGAGAACCCGATTCGGACTGAGAACCAGTTATATACAGTTCAAGATTATCAGATGCATTCCATGTTTGGTCAGTTTTTAAAACGCTGTAGTATGAAAAGTGATTTATGACTGACATTGGCTGACAAAATCATCGTAAAATTTCGCACACAGGTGCATCAGCTTAAGTTACCACACTTCACAGAAGTCCACAAAGAACAGGTGAATAGAAAAAGAGTGATATGAAAGTAAACAAAGTAGTGTGAGAGAACAAACAATCTGAAGATAAAAGTTAGAGTGAATATTCAAGGTTAAGATGTTAAGGAGTAAATACATCCGGGTCATTGTCAGCGGTTTTTGGCCATGTCACCAAGAGTTCTAGACCATTGATTTTTTCAGTTACAGGGACCCCAGCAAGATAGTCTAAATCACCCCATACGGCTCAGGTCAACAGTCAGGGACCTCAAGTACTGCTACCACGTATTTGTCTGGCCACCCTGAACCCTTTTGCATCCTAAGCCAACTTCCTCTACCATGGCACGTCGAGGTAGACGGTGGCTTAGCATGAGCAGTACATATTCAAGCCATTTCAGTTGACTAAGGTTCACAAACTCGTTAATCTACTTATCTGCCTTGCTTAGTAACCTACTCTCTCGGGTGAATATGACACTGGATTGTAAACAAACTAAAAAACAATTTTTTGAACAATGAGAAAAACAAACAACTGGCATACCATACTATCTCTAGAGTAAAAGAATAATAATAAAATAATGATCATAATAAATGATATTGAGGAAAAGAAAAATGTACAGCACACTGACATATACTTATTAGTTTAAATATATGTACCATTTAATTTACCTTTATGAACGCATTCTTCATGTATTATCAAGGTATGTCTTTGTGTAAACACTTTGTTACAATAATGACACTGAAACCCTAAACCTGTAAGGACAAGAGAGAAATAGTAATAAACGCATTAGGATCTAATAAAATATTCTCCATAAATGGTCAACATAGTTGACCAAAAGGAAAAATAAATAATCAAATCAGGTGTAGAGCAGAAGTCATCACACTGATGCGTTTCACATAGAACCCTTAAAAGGAACGATGCACAAACTCGTTATAACATAGATATCATGAAATGCGCTACAGCTAAAATATTGTTTGCTTAGATGATTGAGATAATTCTTCACTACTACGCGTCTACGCCTAACAAAAAACAACGTTCAAAGTGGTTTATATGAATCACCGTAAAGGAACCGCTGACGCAATTGCGGAAACCACCTCCAGTGTTTGATATTTTCTTAAAAATGATTTTATAGATTCCATTTCATGGAGTATCCAATACTACTCCCTTGTGGTGAACAGCAAGAAGTTCTGTCCTTATGAGACCACTCAACACACTAGAACGAAACAACTTTTCACTTTTTCCCCGTTCTTAATGGTTTTCCGGCTTGTTTCCATATATGATGACAACCCCTGCAGAGCCAACCAACTCTCTTCTCCCTTGAAAAGTTAAATTATATGAATTCGTTGATGATGTAATGGACCAGCAGGATTATCTAATCCTTTTATACACGTGAATTGAACAGGAACGTTTTTTAAGCCGAATTCTGATGACTGCATAACTTAAACACTGGTTTTGCACTACCTAAATGATATGAGTTAGGCGTTGCCACTAACTAGTCTCGCTTAACTAGCACAGATTGTAGCGTATAAGTCACACATACACACAAATACGTTTTATTATCTAAAAATAAAACAACGAAGTTTCATCAACTATCGAATCTCCATCTTTATTCACGTGTTACTTACCAAGACGGATATTTTTCTCTGTTGAATTTGTGATCATTTATAGTCATCGTTGGTAAACTTTTTATTGGGTACGCTTGATCTATGTGCCTATTCAAACCGAAATCACATGTCAACGCAAAGTAGTCCTCTTAGTAGTCATGATTACTGGATTAATGTCTCTTCACCAGTTAATTAAATTTCATTGAACAAATATTTTAGAAGTGTCGAATCTGAAGAACAACTATCAAGGAATGCTGAAGATTCTACATTACTTATCTAAGGTACATAATAGCGCAGGTAGCAACGAGCTATGTTGGTGGAACGCTTGTTCTTTGAGGTTCTAACATGCTAGAAAGGCCAGTTGGGTAGTGGTAAGAGTAAATGCAGTTACCGTTATAGTGTAAACTGCTACACTATGACGGGGGTCTGAAAGCGAAGTCGCACTGCTGACTGGATGGGTTTGTGACAGTAGTAAGGTGTTTCCCACGGATGACCAGCAGTCCCACGCTGGTGCTGCCTTTCTTATGGGAATAGGGGGGTTAGAAAAGGTCAGCCCTAAAAATAGCACACTCCCCTTTACCCCTTTGGATACCTGTTTCGGTTATATGGCTTCGTAACCGGATTTGCACAACAACAAAACTAAACTATCAAATGAAATCGATGGCTGAAAATATCGAACAATATGCATGTTAGTAATAGTAATGCAAATGGGTCAGCTGCTGGTCATCACCTAAGCCTTGATACTCTTAATATTTCGAACGTTGAATTATGTTTATTACCGCGTTTTATAGATATGCGTTTCATCATTTTTATTCATCTTCACTTTAAAAGCTGGAAATCTCTATTCATTGGTGCAATATGCTATCGTTCAACTTTCAATGTTGTTTATTTCTGGTAACTGCTGGAATGAGTATTATCCAACTATGCTTAACCATTCCCTCGTTTAATGTCACTCTAAGATTGTACACCAACAGCAACCAAGAATCAGTATACGCAACGCATGGTGTTAACCACTACAGTTGATTTAGTTCCATGCTTTCGTTAGTTGAGTCACTTTCCTTGTAAAGTATTATTAATCTAACTTAATTATTGTTCACTTATTGGCTCTACTACATGACATGCCTATGATTAAATGCCAAACGCCATAATATAATGCTAAACATGGTTGAAAAGAATAGCCGTAGCATTTCCTTAAACAGTGATGAAATAAATTGTTCACAAGATAAAAAAGGTATGCATGAAAAGTATTATGTGAAAGTGTTTTCTATCCTACTACATTGAACAGAACTTAATTTTGCAATATGTAATTAAAAAAATCACTATATCTACTTTCAAGTTAACTTCTTCTTCCATGCATTGTGTTAATTAAGAGACAAAGATGAAATGGTAAAAATAGGAAACGTTGACATACCTTTGTGTACTAGATTAATATGATTTTTAAGTGAACTAGTTGACTTGAAACCATCACCACATTCATCACACTGAATTAAAATACCTAAACAACAAATCGAAGAAATATTTGAATTGTGTTGCGAAGGAAATATTCTGAACTTTTATTTGACTGATTAATGTGTAAATTCTTCACAAAACGACATGGTCTCTGTCGATATCTCTCACAGATGAGTAGTTTTTCAAATTCTCAACTGTCGTGTCAACAGGAGTTTACCTTGCGAAACCAACTAGTCAATATAACAAAGCGTGAAATCTGATACAAAAGTATCAGGAGCTAATGGAACATGAACATGAGTAGACAGAAATACAGTGATGTACATATTTTACTAACCAAGTTAGTATGATTGCTTTCTACTTACTCGTGTTGTTCTGTACTATGTTTCGTTATTTCGACCTTAGGTAGATAATAATATAATAATATTAATAATAATAATAATAATAAGCCATATGCGGTTAATATGAAAGAACCAATCAGTTCACTTTAAGATAATCTGCCACACATGTTTAAGCCCTATATTAACCGAATATCAAGGATCAACTTGAACAAGAAGTTGTAACAATATGATACACCAGAAACGTTCACTTTATACTGCACAATGACAGTCGATGAAGTCCCTGACTGGTTGGTTTGAGCTGTGTAGAAAGGCATAGACTACTTAGTTGTGGTCCCTAAGATAGTAGGAATCAGTGGTTGAGAACTATTGGTGACAATGACGCAGACGTATTCACTCTTTGACGTCTTCTAAACCTTGAATATACACACTAACTTTTATCTTCAGATTATTTATTCTCTCATACAACTTTGTCTACTTTGATATCACTCTTTTTCTGTTCACCTTTTCTTTGTGAACTACTGTGAAGTATGGCAACTTGAATGGATGCACTTGTGTAAGAAATTATCAGTTGATTCTGTGTGTTTTATATTGGAGTTGGATTGTTCAAGGCAATCTACTGAGTTAAAACAAAGCGTAAGTCAGCATTCGGACAGTAACACGATGGGCCTAAAGTCGAGGAAAGTGAGCACTAATTCCATTAAATTCGAAGTACTACTTATTCTCAACAAATACATAACCGGTAACTTGCCCGTAATATTTCTATAATGACTTTATCTATCAGTCTCGAAGGTTGGTATCATTCATCCAGAGTAATCTTGTATAATTTTCACTCAGTAAGGTAACAATTTACTTTTTCTTTGAATAAAATGTTATGACAGTTTAGTTTAGATGGCTTTGAGTTAACAGGAAGAACATACCTACCGAGAGGTAGTGAATACCATCAGTCTAAGATGTATTAGACCTAACTGTGAAAAATCAACATCCTCCTTTATAACAAGTCAAATCCAATGCAATAATAATTGACAACTGCATGTGTTATTCGGTGAAATAAGGCAGTATACCATATTAGAATACAAAACTGAAAAGACATAAGAACAACTTACGGAACATACATGAAGAACTGATATATACATCGTAAACATAATCTATGTAAACTGTTTAGTTCTCATGATCCCTGTTCTATCGATAGTTATGGATTAGAGAATATTATAAGTATGATTTATCTTGGAGCGTTTTCTTCAAACCTTTCCTGGTCCTCCCATATATTACTAATTCCAAAAAGAATTTTCTGCTTAACTTTCTATATAAGAAGTTGAAAGTATCTAGTACAACTCCGCCTCTCCTCTTGTGTTTTATAAACTCCTACATCTTGCCCGTTCTCCTTTATTTTTTCTCGGGTTGTTGAAAAAAGGCTATGCTATATTGTGTAGAACTTTGAAGATTGTCAGCAGAACTAGTGGTATACACCTCTAAACATTCTAGTTAGAACAGCTATGGACAAACATCTTAACTCATGTAATCTGGTGGGAGTTATTTTATCAGATGACCAGCATCCTCTTAACTCAAAGCTCTGCATTTAGAAAGACAAGGAGCAAGTACATAAGACTTTATACACGTACTACAAAATATAAAAACACAATACCATATTTAGCTCGTCTGTTGTGCAGTGAAGAAAGCATTGGAAGTGAACAACTAATCAGCTTCTGTTTTTGAAAACAAACTAATTGGTGATGATGAGCATGCTACTACTTACGTATTATGAACCCAATCGTTAGTGTGATTGTCTGCCTAAATTAACTATGCATTTTCAAGAAAGTTTAGACAGGATAGATAGAGTATTTTATCTTCTTTCTTTTTTTTACGTAATTTATATTTATTTCATTTTTCTATGTATACATGTATACTGTCTCTGTCAATTGATGCTATATGACATGCTGAAAATTCTGTACAGTATTTTTGAAATAGCTTTCAGAACAAAGCCATTATTATTAGTAGTAGTATTAAAAGGTTTATTCAATCTATTAAAATATTTTTTTTTCTTTTTGTTGAATACAGGAATTACTAGTTGAGAAAACGGTGAACTCACAAATTTTCTTGTTTATACAATATCAATACGGATCTTTATTTACACTAGGAATACACTTCTATTGTTTTTTTTAAAAAAAAAGGTTAATATGATGCTGACAGTTCTAATTCATAACAAGCTTATCAAAAATTTAAACAATCATGAACTCTTATAAAATAAAGATATAGTATGAAGTTTTGTGGAGTTTTCTAAAGTAAGACTAACCCTTACTAAGCAGAATGATTTACATAATGAACATTTTAAATTAGGAATTTCCAAGTGAAGTATGTTGCAGTCATATGTAGTGAACCTCATTTAAACGGTTAAGATTTGTGTACAAGGCTATTTAGCTATACAATGAATTTGTGTGGACATACGCTACTACCTAGTTGAACAGATTCCGAGTGAGTGCAATGATACTTGTTGAGCCGACGACAGATACCTCGTAAGTTCGGTGCTTAAGTCAATGAGTAATAGCTCCACATATCACAGAGTGAAAATACACAATGGAACATTTATAGACAAATATGCACAAACAGATAGATATCGAATAACTTACCCTCATGGATAACTTTTATATGTTCACTTAAGTATGATTTTGTTTTGAATTTCTTTTCACAGTGATCGCATGCGAATTTCTCGCCTAAACCAAAAGATTAAAAAAAAGACAATATGAGATAGACGACCCTCATTATTTTGCGGTTTTCACTTTTTAAATAAAAGGAAAATAGAATAAGGCTGTTTCTGCTGACGTCTCGGTACTCATTGCTAATCGCTTTACAAACAAATGACAATACATTTATTTAAAAGATGAACAGAACATCATAAAGTTGAACATCAGCTCCACCCCCTATGCTTCATAACAGAAACAGAAATGGTATTTAACAGAAAGTGTAGGAAATACTGAGGAAACAAGTGAATGACGAATACTAAGACGGGTGCAATTATTTTGAGATTTACTTGGGAGGTAGGTTTGCCAATTAAGTTCGTAGAAGATGCTATGTTATATAAGGACGTGAATCAAACGAGATCAAAAATCTACATACATAGACATAAAAATAATCTGGCAAAGGTGAAAACAAAAAGACAAGCCTTTAACTTTGAGGAATTAGAAATCATTTTACAAATAGCCTTGAGATCATCTCAACATATCTTTATGCCAATGATGGGTAGTGGCTAACATTGGAATCTACGACACGCGTTTCATCCTATATGGGAGCGATCACAATTCGGTCCAATAAACGACGGGTAATACAAATAACAAAATTATATCTTTATACTACTTATACATAGTCAGTAGTTAGAACATCTAATCGACTCAAGGCCAGTGACCAGCATATATCGGTAAGTTTAAAACACGTAAACGTAAACATATGAGATAAAAACAATGCCCCAAAACTTCTTGATATGACATGAAATCGTAGTTTCCACCTAGAAAAGAATTCTAAAACGTATGTGTGAGCCTGTGGTTAATTGGTTTAGGTGTTTGACTTTCAATTTATGAGTCAGGCGTTCAGACTCCGCACCACCTATCGAGTACCGTACGGTCAGAAACTATCATTAGCTTGCATAAAATACGTAGTTCTCCGCTTTTGTTTGTGAAAACATATTTACTGCTGAACAAAAAAGATCCAGTTACACCACAGTGCACTATTTAAGACTAGCTGCCCGAAAAGTCAAATTATTTAATCATTTGGCGGTACAAAAGTTCCCGTACACCCACACAAAACAGAATGTTGCTAATATATACAACTTCCGAAATGCGTGTGCAAAAGATATCAGTGGAAACACAGCACATAAGGGAAACATCTTATCACAAAGAAACAGTAAAGAATTGTGACAGAATATGCGCCAGAGTACTTGGTTCTTTACAGGTCTCATGATACCGGGAAATCACAGCAGAGGAGTATTGTTCATCTCTACTTCTACAGGATATGGCATTGGAATGTAGAACAAAGATAACAGGTATTCTATCATGCGTCTTCGAAACAGTTTACAGGTGATGAGCTCACTAAACGATCAATATAATGGTCGGATACATTGTTTCGGACAAGAAAGATAAGTAAATCAACTAGGCTTTATCGATTGAAATGGCTTCGATATATGCACTTATGTTGATTCACTATCGGATGAGAAACAGTGCAATCTGAGGTACGATTAAGTTGGAAAAGAAATGTAATGGTAATATATAGAGGAAATAGCGTCAATCGACAAAGTCTCTGAATGTTTGAATCGCATGAGAACATATACCTGATGTGACTTGGGTTCCCAAATTGCTTCTTTCTGGGAATCACTACGTTAAGAGTTCCAAGTGTAAGAGAGAAATGTATCATTTATTGATGTAGTTTGGTGGGATAGCAAGTAAAAAGTGAATATACAGCTCCTAATTCTACTTTATAAGCTATTTACAAAGTTTTCCAAATGCTTAAAAACTATGTCGACAAAAATAATACCTATTTGCTGTCACTGATATAAAATATTAATTGTTCTATAATATGCATACCTTAAAATCATGAATGCAGAATTAAACGTTTTTGAAAAAAGCACCTGATTGTCTTTTTTACTCAAAATATTAATATTTTTTGTAACTGTAATGTTAGAAATAAGATATATATTCTTTCCATCGCTGAAAGTCTATGTTTACAATTGTTCACAGGGCTTGACGAAATAAGTACTACCACCTGGTTACGACAATATCTTGAGTATGCAGATAGAGGATATGAAGCTCATATCAAGGTATAATATGATCACAATGAATAAAAAACTTAGGCTAATGATATTTACGACCACTGTATACTCTGTGATCACTTACGATTTTATGACATCGATAGATATTGAAATGCAATTCGTAAACATAATGCAAATAATTTTTGATCTACATTTAAAATTAGACTATGAAGATTGTGTGCAGTTTTCAAAGAATTAGTGTGTAAAGTTAGTCTTACAAATTTCCTGTATTACAATAACCTAATAAAAAAAATAATATGGTAGAATTAGTGTTATGAACTTAAACTATGCTGCTGTAATGTGGTTCTCAAATAAACTAATTGGTTCCCTATCTCAGTTACTAACGATCGAGATAGAGACAGAAGATGGACGAACATTGAATTGAATGCTTAATCTGGCAATCAACTATTAACTCACACTACATAATATTCGTAGCGTCTTTTATGGCATTGATAAAATAGTTAGTAAGGTGATTAAGAATAACAAATTATTAGTAATCGATTTGTCGTACTAATAAACACAGCTACAATACAGTTAGGAGATTTGTGGGAATTTATTTGTTGATTTCAGGTTGGTATTCAGCATTGCTTGACATTAGTTGGAGAAACGTTAGAAACCAGGACGCACTGGACAGTTATTTTATCCTAGCATGGAAGTCCTCAGAAGTGCGCACCCATGACCTCACCAGAGGTCGAACCCAGGGGCCTTTAGGTCCCAGAGCCAGCACGTTGCCATCCACTGGATCGGAATCCAGTGGTCCGTATTTCCTACTTCGGTCAGTTCGCCATATAACGCGACCTCCATCCAATGCCGTCGTTGATTAATTGTCCTCATTTCCGAATTGGTTGGCCCCCACCAGTCACGATTTCTCATTAGAACTTCAGGAATCGCCTATTGAAGCGAGTCACTAGGTTTGAAACCTGTCTGAATTTCTTGGGTTTGCTGCTCCCTAGCTTCAGTTGGACGTCTAATGATTACATGACCTAGAATTTTAGACACCATATTCATAAGACTGATTCCTTTGTGGTTACTACAACAGGACTTCTCCCTTTTCTTGAAGACTGGGACAATCGGTCATTAAGACCAGTCAGAGAGGATCATATCTGACTCCTATACACCAGCTAACACTTCAGTTAACTTGACTAGTAATCGTCAACAGTTGTCTTTAAATAACTTCAGTGCTAGTTCATCTGATCCTGATGTCATTCCTCTTCTCGGATTATTTACAGTTTTTTTTTTCAAATTTGGGAAGAATTGACGACCCTATCTTGATATTCCATTCGGGGTCTGACTGGATAGCGGGTAACGGTATAGTAGCTCGAGGACAGGTAAACCAATACTCGCGATCATTGCGTAAGCTTTTCGTCAGTCTACATTTGAGCTACTGTCGCTAGTCATTCCGCTTGGCACCTGTAGATCTGTTCACGTGCATCCATTAATTCAGTAGAAACTTCTGAGTTTCTGTGACTCTTTTAAGCCACTTTCTCAGAGTTAGCTACGGTCTTTAACATTGGTCTTACAGCAGACTGAAGATGGTGATGTTGTTCTGTACTGATAACCATCCAGTCAGTTTCTTGCTGAGAGCAGACTCAATATTCTCATCGTCAAGCAGCATTCACAGTGGTCTAGCACCTGTAATTTCCATTTTGGCGCAAACATAAGCGTGACTGAATCAAAGCGTTGGATTTTGAGATTTATTTCCAGTGCATAGATTCCTACTCGATGTAAACACATGCAACGGATGAGCCCAAGCGGGAATAAACATGCTGGATCTCAAAGTTAGTCACTACTCGATGCAATTGAAGATAATGATATATCTGTGAAACGGTAATACACTCAAATAACCTAGTAAACGATAGAATTAATATTTCTCATATTAGGAGAGAAATAAACCAAGGAAGTGAATGGAAACTATTAAATGTAGTTATAAGATCCTATGGAACCACTTTAATTCCAAGCTGCATTTTATGTAAAGAATTTAGGTACATAAACTGGTCAGAATTCATAAAAAGGTAAAACAAATTGTTAGTACTATATATCATTTCAGCTAACTGTAAGCGGTAACTGGTAAACCAAACAAAAACATCAATCCAAAAAGCACAATGTACTTCCATGTAACTCCCTAAATCGTCCCAAAGGCTATGGAAAGAAACTTCTAGATTAGTTTTATTGCTACTCAGAAAACTGAGAAATCAAACTGAGTGGTGGATGAAGGAAAGTAACAGAGCATACTCATAAATGATTGCAGAGTTGTGGTTAGTTGGTCTAAACTTCCGATTAATAACTAAATTCACACCAGCTACTTTGACCTAGACAACCAAGTGGGAAAATGTGAAAATCGTGGATAGAGGAAATACAAAGAAATACCAGGCAGGTTTAAGAAGCTTGGTATTTAGGTCAGTTATCAATCAAAAGAGATTGACAGTGACTCAACTTATCAACCAATAAGAAACAACTATAAAGTCAAATTTCAGGTCATCAGGACAGCCAATCAAAGTGGATATGGAGACAATGATAAGAACTTGGTAGAAACAACCAATCACACTCAAGGCTATCAGGACGAGCTACTAAATAAATAGTGGTGAAAACCACACAGCTTACTTCTTTCTGAAGTTTGTGCTGATGGTGTTGTATAGAATGACAACGAAAGCTTCACGATTGAATCATCCAGCTCGGAGAACACAACACTATCAAAATTATCCTCCTGAGCTACAAATATTCTCCATCAACGGTAAAAAGAAACCCTCCACCTTAGGTGTGGTGTGCCAAATAGTCTACTACACACGAAATCGTAGGGGATTTTTGAATAATAAATGAAAAACAGCAGTCCAGATAATGGCTTAAACATAGTGATTAACGAACACCTGAAAATACAAATCATTAATTTACCACAGTTCTACGTTGAACGAAACCGGTAAAGATGTACTACTCATTGCATTGATAAATCAATAAACACATACGTAGAATAAATCCTTGCAGATTCAACTAGTTAGTTACCAGAGGAGAAGTGACAATGTAATGGATCCGAATCACTGGACCTAGATAATTACCTACCGCGTTCATAAAGAAGAGAATCTGTTATTATTTGAAACTTGTAGTTTTCGAAACGTTGAGGAATAATACAAAATATTTGTTTATTTTGTTATTTGTTCTAATATACTACGCCGGGATTACACAAGTAAAAATACATCCTATACAATGAATTGTAATTTTCTGTTGCAACATAGGGTCGAATTGCTCGACCTCTGTTGGCAGACGGGCTCCTATGCGGACGCTTCGATGTTGTGTTCATCTTGGTAATTCACAGTGGAATCCAGGAGGTGCGTTTTGTTCTATTTGGGACTCGCCAGGTGGATGTACCTGCAACCCAGTGAGTGGTGTTGTTTCCACTGGGTCTCTAACCCATAACCCATTGCTCCAAATGCCAAAGAGTTATCCACGGTAAGCATTTGTAAGAAATTAAATCATTGGAACATTTTGGAAATTTTTAGTTATAGATAAAGAGCGTCGTCTCCCACCAGCGTTTATCACTGTTTCATACGCTACTTGTTTTTGAAGCCATTTAGGTATATGTTCTCCCACCCTTAAGCATAAACTGGCAAAATGGTTGATGAAAACGTTAAATCCAGTTCGAAACGAATTCTGTAAGTTTTCACTGAGATTCTTTTTAAATTGTTGACTGTCTTAGCAACATGAATATAAAAAATAAGATTATGTACTCTTTCGATGTAAATTCCTTATTCACTAACGTGCCGTTGTCCAAGACTATTACCATTCTGGGTGATTACATATCCTTTAGAAACCTCCCATTTCCTATTACTCTAACCTTTCTGAGGGAGCTATTATTGCTCTGTACCGATAAAGTCCACTTCACATTTGAAGATGAACGCTTTCGACAAGTTGACGGTGTAGCTATGGGTAGTCCTATTGGACCACTATTACTAGCTGATATTTATATGTCTTATATCGAAAACCTGGCTGATCTCATCGCTAAAGTTCCTCTTCACAAGAGTTATGCTGATGACATTAGTGATTTGTGAGAGGCATGAGGATATGGCTTGACTTAACACCGTACGAACTCACATCAGCTTGGTTTGTGAGAAAGAGAATAATAATCAACTGCCATTCCTAGATATACTCCTGAGTCGACAAGAAGATGATTCAATAAGACGGTCAGTTTACAGAAAGCCTACATGGACAGGACAATCCCTGGATTTTCACAGTTTTTGTCCAATCCAATGCAAGCGAGGTCTAATAAAATGCCTGTTTAATAGGATCTACCGTATCAGTACACTAGATAGGATGGAGGAAGACATCAAATTACAGATCAAAGCACTTATAGAAAGTGGATATCCGATGAAGTTTATAAACCGTTGTAGAGGCCAAGTAGCACCAAAGCCAACTTTACACACGGTTCCTAAGAAAGGCATCCATATCACTCTACGACACAGAGGGGAGTAAAATAGTATCATTTTGAGACGGAGACTGATATCAGCCATTAAGAAAACATATTACGCGGCGAATCTTATCACTGAAAAAAACAAAACGCATGCTTCACCAGAAAACCTAAACACCGCATCAATGATTATGTCACATCCTATTGTGTTGACCAATTTACATGTGTGTGTGTGGTCAAGCATACATAGGGAGGAGTAATCGAGTCGTGCAGTTGAAGGAGGGAGAGCATGTACCTAAATGGCTTCAAAAACTAATGGAGTGTAAAACGCTGATGGGAGACGAACCTCTTCATCAATAGCTAAACATATCATAGAAACAGGTCACTAAGTTAATGTTCAGACGGCTTTCAAAATTTTGAAAACCATCAAGGACATAAATGTCTGACTTAGTGCCGAAACATGTCTTAGCCAATATTTGTTTGAATTAAAGAATATCTTCGTTTTAATATTCAGGAATTTATAAAAATGCATCCCATCATTGAATTCACACGTAATTCTAAGTGTGATAAAAACACCACCTTTTTCGGGGAAAAAAACCAAAATTACTCACTTTTACTGGTGCTCTTCTCTAGTGGTGATTGATCTTCTTGACTTCTAGGCTTATTATCAACTTCAGAGTAGATGTGATTGTCCTCACTGTGAACTGTTGGGCCTTTATCTTGAAGAAAAGAATTTAAAATGGGCAGTTGTAGCACATATGTATATACAAAAGAATGGATTGGAAAATGAATCAAGTTAGCCAACCTTTAGCCTTAAATAATTTGGTTAGCATGCAAAATTTATTGTACGCAACGTTTGATACTTATACACACTCTGTTATATGAATAAACTTGTTTTGTGACTATCTGAATGTTGGAGAAAGCTTGTGAAAATCAGTCATCAAAATCTTATGACGTGTTTCATTCTGTACTAAGAATGATGAATATTAACTGTGATTAAATTGCAATATGATAGAGTGCATTCCACGGTTAACACTCTTTATCCTGTCGCACTGAACCAGTTTTTTTGGTGTACGGTCGAGAGTGCATAGAGCCCAATCGTCTCGAAATGCTCTTATGTGGTTACTGACAAAAAAGTCCTATCTACTACCTTCACATAGTAGAGTTCCTTACACTTAAGTTAAACGATGAATATTAACGTTCAGCATTTACATGTAGAGGGGTTAATATGAACGTTTCAACTAAGAAGGCTTAGAAATATTGGCTACATGGATTAAAGGATGCTGAAGTTTCCAGTGGAGTATGAACTTAATAAGGACATCGAATTATATCGAAATACAACTTTTTATGTTGCTCTACTACCTCGTCAACTGAACTTTTGGTTGAAATTCAGTGATTATCTAAGACAATACACGTAAGTGAGGTGCCTAGATAGCATCGTGACAGTCACGAAACCCTAACTACGAGAAGACGAAATGAACCGAACATTATGATAGAGTCATTTTACATTTATATTCTCATAAATCCTGACCATATTACTATTCGCTTTAAAAAAGTGTAGAGTTCGGGCACTTTGATAGAGTGTAACTTTATTTTAGTTATTTTATTGTGCATCCCACAGTGAAACAGTATCATATACTGTATGACGTTTCAGATACAATCTATTACTTATAACCATATCAAAGTGATATTATGTGGGTGTGGAAGGCATATAACAATCGTGGCCACCTTTGACTTGGTAGCAACATTTGTCTAACAACAAAGGGCAGCACATACCAAGCTTCGATTCGAATAGCTTAATGTGTATATGAAATAAAGTCACTTTGTCATGATACCCAACAACTTTATGTTTAAAACATCGATATTCACCTGATACTGTTCACAGTAAGTAGCAACACAATGTAGATATTACTACGATTCGGTGAAGTTTATCTGGGCATTTTTGAGATTGTTATTTAGTGGGCCAAGTTATCTTAGGACCGGAATATATTATAGTTACTATCCAAGTAGCTTTCATGCAGGCAATGTTGATAGTATTGAGACTAGTTCCCGACAAAGAGAGATGACTAGTTTACGACACAGAGGTATAGGATGAAAAATTAGCACCTACAACCATCATAGTCACGTTACACCATCCAAGTAAACATAATCGTCCTTATTTATTTTCATTTACAGTAACAGATCATTGGGAACAATTTAAACTGTCACATACTAATCACCTTTCAAACAATAACCTACATACATGAGGTTTCCGATCAATTTTCCTAAGGCCGAAAATAAAAAGAAATATACCAGTATTTTAAATCATCATCAGGATTTAAATTTTTTCATCTGTTATAGGTTCTGTGAACAACTGAAGAAATAAGGCTTCGGAACTGAGGATTCTCAAGAGGTCTAATGTATTCCGTTATCATCATCGTCTTAATATCTAATAATCGTAGCATTTTAACTATATGTAAAACATTTCTTTGTATCCTCTGTTATAGGAATCTACTTACATAGTGATGTTGTAGTGGGTGGAAATCTGGTTTGACCAAATGGAAATTGAGAATGCAACTGATCCAAAGAGTATGGGTACTGCTGAGTTGAATATCCCATTTCAATTAGCTTATCCAGAGAAGGTTGAGCTTGCCGCATAATTCCAAGTTTATTATTATTATTATTATCGCTATTGTTGTTGCTTTCTTGGTTGAAGTTTGTATGGTTGATCATCGCGGGGGTATAATTTTCCTCTAAAATCAATTAATTACAAAGGCACAATCTAAACAAAGTTAACTTGGAAGAAAAAGCAGTAGAACAATATCATTCATTTCGATACTCGAACTTGAATAATCGGATGATAAATTCGAAACCCTTCTCATTTAAAATTGTTTAGATAGTCACTAATTTCCAGAATAATTATGAATCATAACGGTACACAAGTGGTAAGACACCTCAGGAACTTCGCATATGCCGGTTATTCAATATCAACATAGAACCTGGAATTCGTGCAAAATAATGCAAATTGTCACATCACACACCACTACATCATGATATTAGACAAGATGAAAGATAAAGTGGAAACAGCATAGTCAAAGTCGTATAAAATTAATAAAACGGAAGAAAGAGTAGAGTCAAAGTAGATAATAAAATGTAAAATAGAGGTTAACATGAACATCAGGTGTTGATACAATCGATTCTGTACGATATTACCAACATTTTCCAATGAATGATCACAAAATTTAATCTCCAAGCTTATAGACAGACAAACTCAACATAGAACATCACACACAAGTGTATCGGTTCAATTCGACACACTTCACGGTAGTATTCAAAGAACAAGTGGTACAAAAAGACTGATACCAAAGTAGGCAAAGGAGTATGGGAAGAGAAGGAATTTACCGATGAAGGTTTAGTCAAGACATTCAATTTTTAGAAGGCGTTAAAGAGAGAATAAATCTGTGCAATAGTGACTTCCAAGGTTCATACCAAGTCACAAACTTCACGGATTGATGTGACATCTTGGCCTGGTCACTCTAACATTCTCTCAACGTACACTGAGTCGACCAGTATAGCACGCGATTCAGCATGCCTAATACACAACCTAATTAATCTATTTGTTGAAGGCTCATAACGTCATCCATTGGTTTATCTCTTTCTCTCTCTCTTGTCCAAGACCTTACACAACTCACATGGTTACACAACAAGCAGCCAATGCTATGAACATAAATTTTGTTAAACACATAGAGTCCTTTCGTATCCACCAACTTTAATAGTTATGTTTCCCAACCATATGGTAAAAAAGGGCGGACTGTGGCGCAGAACTCTCGATGCTTAATAGGCAATCGAACATGCTGTTACTATCATAAGTGATGCAATTTTTCGAAAGTGAACCAGACTTTTCTATCTGTTCGAGATTTCCTCTACCACTAATCCACCATAGTTTATGGCATTTATCAGGTACATATCACTCAATACATAACTTTTAAATACTGAGGTCATTCGGCTTTAAAGTCATTCAAATCTAGGCCACATTACAGTCCAATAAGATTTCTAAGAATCTTCCATCAAGATAATCAAATGTTCAGCTACCTGACTAAGACGACCGTTAAAAATTGCAATCTTTAATTTTTTTTTCGATGACCTATATAAAAAATAATTTGGCACATATTGACCAATTTTTAACTACTTTTAGGTCGAACAGTATCCAATATTTTATGCAGTCATCAAATAAGTCAAAAAAAAACCTTAATGAAGGTGTAATTAAGAACAAAGTTGTTGTATAATTTTTGTTTTTCTGAATATTCACAGGTATTCTAAGCGGATGGAGAGAAACTAGATTCAATAGACGAATTCACACTGGATCACAAGTGAACTAATCAATCAAAGTAGCATAATCAATTAAGATAAAAGATAAGACATGACCTTTACTTAGTGTGTACGGATTATAATGTCTGCTTGCCAAGTAAATCTAAGCTTGATCGATTGACTTACAGTCCAGACTTAATTTTACTAGCTTAGACGAAATTCTGCGTGATCAGGCTTGATTAAAAGGCATTTCTTCTAAGGAATATTCCATAGGTTCAGCCAGGGGTCAAGTCAAAATGCTGTCAGTAACCTTGTGAACATTTATGCTGTAGGCAATGAGCCAAACATGTTATGTGAAACCTAGTGATAATACCCAGCTGTTCAAACTTCCGTAGGTGAAGCGTTGTTAGAAAACTTGAAGACCAACTACCTAAACCAGTGAGTCATAGCTCCACTTCAGCCAGATAATTGGTGAAACCTGTTCATAGCTGAGTTGTTCTGAATTCAATAAACACCAAAATATCTACAAGTTATATTTGTTTAAATCTAAGCGTGTTTGAAATAAATAATTCCAGCGTTTCTCACAGAAGTCTGGTCTAAGCTTCTTCAATAAATTATTGCAAATATGCTAAGCTTTATGAACACTAGTAAATATTGTGAATAGATTTAAAGTAGAACATTCAAGCGTCTAAGTAACAAACTTATTGTCCTTACAAAAATTGTCTGACAATAAAGCTTGAAACTTTACAAATGTAAAATTTATATCGCAATAATTATTAAGTAAATAAGAACTACAACACATACATTTAAAAAAACTAGGCATATTTTTAAAGAGAAATTTTCGTGGGCCAAGGATGAATAATGAGAAAAGAATAGTGACCATCTAAGTTTTATACGAAGAAAGAAATGTTTGGATAGGATAAACGCGACCTTTAGATATCATCGTTGTTAGTTGTAACAATATGTGAAACAAAGTGGAACTTTTATTGTTAGTCATCCATCATAACATCAGTGTGGGAAAATCAAAATTACAATGAATAATACTTAAAGAATTGAAGCGAATGAAGAAAAATAAATAATACAACGTTTGACATACAAAAATGAGTCATTATGATCGATTTTGAGTCATGTCACAGCGCTTAACCTTTTTAATCATCCACTTTCATCTATAAAAAATATACGTAGAATACTTAACCCCTTAAATTTGAGCATCTCGGTAATATTTCGATATTATAATCCACCTTAATTACCGTGAAACAATGTAGGTATGTTTTTTTATCTCAGCGAAAAGTACCTAAACCGTTTTACTTAATGTAGATCAACTGGCTTATAAGCTTTACAAATCTAACAATTGCACATTAAGTGGTTCAACCACATTAGCAACGCCTCCAAGGTATTGGTGACTACCTAAACTTCTCTGTGTCGATTACTTTTATTTCTAAACTAAAACAGAATAAACTGCTGGGTTTTTATTCATATATTTTGTTTGTTCAGTATGTGAACATAAGCACCATATAGGTAGCGTAGGCCAACAAACATATTATCACACAATATATGAGAATTTTTTTGTGACTAATAAAAAAGGATCTGCGTGGCAGTAAATGATTAAAACACAAAGAAAGCATCTTACGCTTTATAAAATTGATCATTTTCATCACATCATTCTGCGGGAAAAAAGGTCTACAAATCTGTTGTTGACCCCCATTACCAACATCATTAGTATTATTGCTATTCATATTATTATTCATTGCATTCCAATCCCAAGATCCAAAATTATAAGGGACATTCGGTCTAAACAAATGTTGTTGATGATGTTGTTCAATTTTACAATCTTCTTCCTTCGAAGCTGTGGCGGTGATAGAATTCATGCCGCTTTAGAAAAGACAAATAACTGAAAAATGTAAGCTTAATTACCAAAAATGTCTACAAATAAAAGCAATAACAATAAATGGTGACAAAAGTGATATTTGCATAGATGACTAGATATTTTGAAGACGACTTTCCAGAAAGTGATTTCTAGCGTTGTCGAAAAGACAGATATACGTAAAACAGGACCTACCGTCAACGTTGGAAGATTCAACTAACTACACTCTATTTCAGTATGAACGAATAAATGAAAAGCATTCAGCCATCACCTTGTGCACATCCATGCAGTAAGCAGTGAGCCACAGCTATCGTGTGACGGCTGGTGATACAACCTGGCTGCCTAAACCTCGGTGGGTGGAGCTGAGCTTCAACCTGTGACCCAATGCTTGATAGTCATTTCCCTAAACCACTGAACCACAGTAAACGTATGCGGAAATCAAGAAAACAAAGGATGAAGGGGTGAGAATCATGTGAATTCGTGAAAAATAAATAATATAGAAATACAAGGGGATAAAGAAGATAAAAACGCATATTAGGATTAAGATGAAGATAAGGTGTGCATGTATCTGCGTCCTGTGCAAGATTTCAAATCATGTCACTTAGCCTTCACTCCAATTACTCAATTTAAACTACTAATAGACCCTAAACTGAAAGTTTACACCCCCCCCCCCCAAAAAAGACCTAGAATAACAATCAGACAGTCGATAGAATAGTGTTATATATCCTGGTTCCGGCTTTTATCAACATTTTCTCAGCCTAATAAACAACCCAGCTAATATTGTGGCAACATTGAACCATTATCAACTGACTCACATACCTTACATAATGCTGGAAGCCTAGCTATCGTATTGATCAAAGTGGTCCCAAGATTAACATTTTTAACCTGTACAGTCAGACGAAATCATTCAGAAATCAGTCAGAATAACAGAGGTTGATAAAAGCACTAGTGCAGAAACAAATATCACACATTTCAAACCAACATAGGATTGTAAAAACACCATTTCTGCTCTAAATAGTTACCACGTGAAATAGTCCAACAGAACAGATTACGGTGTTGAGCATAAAAATATTTCGTAGTACAATAATGCATGAAACACACACCCAGTTGACGATACGCAAAAAAATGAAGAGCATAAATCACATCACCTTAAATTCGAAGAAATACCTAAAGGTTGGTACAAGTTGAAGCCTACTTTAGCATTTTAATCAGCGATTATTAGTTCTTGGATAAAGCTGAGCAAAACATCATCCACTTGAGTTACATTCATTACTTGGATGCTGTATACGCTAAGAACCAGCAAACCAGAGAAAGTCGGGGAGTTTCAGACTTGGTCATGCATGTATCGACCAGATATTCACTCTCCCAGGTTCTGAAACACAGGCACGCTCACTGAGGCCCGACACCGGCTGTATTTTCCGACCTAAAGGTGGTATTCGACCCTGCTGATCAAGAAGTCTTGTGGCAGTGTCTCAATGAAAAAGGTATTGAGTAGGTACATAACAATTTTGAGGGTGCTGTACCCGAACACGTATGAGCTTGTTGAAGCTTATAATAAATTATCAGGCGAGTTATGTAAGTCGAGTAGTGTCCGTTAAGGATATCTACTCTCTATTCTTATCCAACTTTATTACAAATGTAATCATGAAGGTCTGTCTCATCGTTTGAATTCAATTGGGTTGTCTTATCACAGGAGAATCCTAGAATACATAGATGACGTAGTTCCTTTAGGCGAAGACAAGACAACAGAACACGTTCAGTGACTATTTCGGAATGCTTGGGATGCGTTTCTCACGAGACGACTTCAAAGTGTTACTCCAGGAATGGTCTTGAGCGGTGCACTATCTACCGATAGGCAATGGAATGGTTGAACGCGATGACTACTCGCGTGGGAACTAAGATCTGCTCTGGTGGTTCAATTCTTATTACTACTATTATCATTACTAGGACACAAATAAGGTACAGCAAGGGCACAAAGAAATGCACTACATAAAAAATATGTAACAACATTATGAAGAAATAAAGCGGGGGGGGAGTAGATACAAATAAAACACAATATGAATAGCGTGATTAGAAAGGCATATGTAACACATATTCAAGCCACTGAAGTCGATGTTTCCAGATGACTTCACTCACTGAGTGACGATCTCCATCATGGCCAAACACAGGCTGTCATACCTCAGGATTACTCACATAGTGTTGCCACTGGATATGAGCAATCCTACGAACAACAATAATCGAATATACAGAGTAGTCGCACATCTTCAGTTTGGAAAGTCCAGGTTTCACAGGCATAGAGTAAAAGTGTTGACACCATAGCGTTGTTAACCCGATCTTTCACGGTCAGACTAACGTCGAGACGGCGACAAAGGTGGCCTAGATTGGTGTATCCCACTCTAGCTTTCGATTTGAAGTTGGATAATTCATTATTCACACCTACACCATCATTCACACGACTACCCAGATACACGAACTTTTCGACTACTTCCAAGGCCTCAGAACAGAGAGTGAGCGCAATCACAGGTTCCTGCCAATCTTGCAAAACCACTTTGCACTCCGATAGTGCAAAGTACATACCATACTTACGGACACTAATCACCAACTGACTAAGTGCGACTTGAGTAGTCTGTGTTATCGTACAGTCAGACGACACCATCCGCATATCAAGGTCAATAGCCATTCTTCGGGTATTAGATCTACACCACCATTATGCACCTCTTCCAAAGCTATCTCAAGGAATAGAGTAATCAGGGAACAATGGAGACAGATGATTGTATGCCCTCACCCTACCTGAGGTGTTATTACACAGGGCTTTCAAGATGTGAATAAGTTTCTCAGGTATGCCCTCTCTAAAAGACAACTCTAGTATACGGTTCTGTCCAGCGAACCAAAGGCGGTCCTAATGTCAAAAAACACGACGATTGTTGGCCTGCAATACGTGTGGGAATCTTCAAGTATCTGGCAAAGGGTAAACACATGACCAGTGCATCCATGTGCTGGAGAAAACCCAGCCTGCTCCTCGCGAATCTTTTCCTCACATGTTTTGCAAAGTCTGCGAAATACGATAACAGCCGATATTTTCGACACGACTAATACCATGACGATTGTCACATACATTACGCAGACCCTTTTTAAAGATGGGCACAACAATGGCTTCATCCTAGAGTGATGGAACACCCTCAGTCTGTCATACCTTCACAAACAATCTAGTCAGTTCCCTGACTAGAGTCGTTTCTCCATCCTAAAAAGAGCTGGGGTAAGTTGTCTGGGTCGTGTGCCTTGTGGCATTTCAGAACTTAGAGATCCTTATGGGCCTCTGCTTCTTTAGGTGGGCCAGTGTTAACTGAACATGGAGCACGACACACTGAAACCGAAGATGATGGAGCCACCGACCAGCTAAACTACTTTTCGAAGTGCTCCGCCCACCATACCAGGTGTCTTTGAAGATTATTTATCGGAGTACCATCTACGTCACAGATCGTCTAACTTATACCAGGCTTCTTGCTGCCAGTGGCTTGGATGAGCTGGGACAGCTTCCGACTATTGCCAGATACAGTTGCTCCTTCCACCTCACTCGTGCATTCTGATTACCAAGCATCAGAGTTGTGTAAACTTTCGCGTAAGAGACCGAGGAAGTTTCTGCATGAATAACCAAGGCTCGCTTGACTTTCGCCAACTTATGCCATTTGTAGCGCCGCAGTGATATCCGATTGCATATCAACGGTCGACTGAACAACGCTGCAGTTCACTGTGTTCTGCTGAAAGGTTTTGAAACATGGCCACTAAATGTGGAGGCCAAATGAAGCAGCTTCAAGTGTTTGACCACTTCTAACTGCACAGCATAGGCTGTATGTTGTGATGCCACCACATCAGTAACGTAGAAGTCGGGTGTAGAGCTTTAGGGAGGAGAAGGAAGTTGGCCGATGATGTCGTGAATCTTCATCGATTGAGGTGGCTCGGATATGTGTTCCAAACGCCTAGTCATTGTCTGCTGGATCGCACAACGTTATCACTCGTATCCAGCGGCAACACTATGTGAGTAATCCTGAGGTATGACAGCCTGTGTCTGGCCATGATGGAGATCGTCACTCAATGAGTGAAGTCATCTGGAAACATTGACTTCAGTGGCTTGAATATGTGTTACACATGTCATCCCAACGGCTTCCACGCCGTTCATTGTTTGGTAACTCTGAGACTGGATGGAAGAAGCGGAGGGGTGTTGAGTGCATGACATGGTGGCATGGGATGAAGGATAGTTGAATCGGGTTAACATCTGTCGGCACATCATGACTCTGAGTGGGGTCCGAGAGATCACCCAACTTAGTGGTTTGAGATGTTACCAGATATGGCTCGAAATCGAAACCAGTGGCAGTTATGCTGTAGCTTCCTCCCATCTTCTGCTCCTGAAAAGTAGTGAATGTATATTACTGAGAGGCCTTTCTAATCACGCTATTCTTATTGTGTTTTATTTGTATCTACTCCCCCCCCGCTTTATTTCTTCATAATGTTGTTACATATTTTTTGTGTAGTGCATTTCTTTGTGCCCTTGCTGTACCATGTTTGTATTCTAATAAATAAATAAAAATAATGATGTTAGCTGAAGTTTAGGTTCGATAAAGGTTAGGGGCGGCCAAACTAAAACACAGCATCAGTTTATGAAGTCCTTAACTGTTGATCTGAGCCATGTAGGGATATGTAGACCTTCCGGTTGGGGCCTGCGCGACAACAGAAACCAGTGGTTGGAGACTTTAGATTATATGGCTCAGAACAGCTCCAAAAGGTTAGATATATCCACACATTATCCTCATCTTAATACTCATACTGAATTCAGTACTTTTCTATTCCTCCTTCCTCTTTTTACTAATTCCTACAGCGTTTGACTACTTCCTTCTTTATCTTTCACCTTGGTCCCTTCTCGCTCGAAATGCTGATGAGCTGTGGCAACTTGGACTGCTATACAGTAATCCCTCGTCCTATTTTTACGATCATAGTATACCTCAGAAATATTCATGGTCCGAAATTCGATTCGATAAGGAAAGTCTGCTGGCCAGATTGAAATAAGGTTTAGATGCTAGTGTTACATACCTACTAGAAGGAAACTCACCTCGCTAGCATTGGGAGTATGTGTGGGAGGGAGAGGTGTACTGTTTTTATGGCCGACTTTTACCAACCTCTCCTTTCGGCAGAAGACAGCATCAACTTAAAATGCTGGTTATCGACGGGAAGCACCTTAATACCACTAAGCCCCGTACACCCAGCGGTGCGACCTTCCAATCAAACACCTACCACAGTGTAAATTATCTACACTGTGACGTTTACTGTTTTTTATTTTGCCGCTATCCAACATATATTTCTGGTATGTTAGCAGTTCAAGAAACAATCATTTCGGTCAGCATATATCGTTGGATCACTGAAACAGGAAATCGAATAGAGTCACGGTAACAGATGTCACTCATCATTCAACAGGTCCTTGAACTCATGTAAGCATATCAGTACAGGATACTACAGCTGTTTTTTGACCTGAAGGACGCATTTGACACCTTTGAAAGAATGCTCTTATAGTTCCATTTGATTGTGAATGAAGTAATGAACAAGAACATCCCACGAATCAAGACTCTCTACTCGGGATTGCGCAACCATGTCAAAGGGTTGAGGACAGTTGCAATGTGGCGTGGCGTAACTACGTGTTCGTCAATAACGTCTACCATCACCGGTCTTACTTCTACAAATGTACTTGTGAGTATAACTTCAATTACCGCCTGTTTTTCATGTATATCCACTAAACTTCGGTTACACAGATGACAGTTTGGATATGAGAAAAACGCTGTCAAAATGAGATCCACTAAGCACCTTGAGCTAAAATCTGAGTATGCTTGGCATTCACTTCCTATCTATCAAACGTCGTATGATGCTTCAGGATTGTTTTGTAGTGAATTCCAGGTTGATGCTAAGCAGCGAGGTTGACTGTGTTAGCCAACCCCCTTATTCGGGAAGCTGAATCGACCCTTGTAGAATAGTAATTGATTAAACTCTGAGATAGATTAGAGAAACGTGTTTTAAATTTCCTAACCCACGCCAATTTAAAAAGTTACTGTTATAAACAGCAGTCCAATTTCTCCTACTGTGTGGTTAGAGATATGTCCGTTTGAAGTGGGAGACATAAAGTGGTTACAGGTCTTCATTTCTTCCTGAGACAACTCACATGTGTAAGTAGATTCAGAAGTTGTGAGGCTAAATGTACAGCAGACAGACAGAACCAACGTAGAATCTTGCATACAAGTGCATCGGTTCAATTTGACACACTTCGCAGTAGCATAGAAAAAACAAGTGGTACAAAAATACTGGTACCAAAGTAAGCAAAGGAGTATCGAAAAAGGAGGAATTTAACAATAAAAGTCACTCAGAATACCCAAGCTTCATAAGACGTCAAAGAGTAAATATATCTGCACCATTGTGACCGGTTTTCAACCACGTCATCAAGAGTCCTCAATTACTGATTTCTATTGTCTCGAGGACCCCAGCCAAATAGTTTATACCTCTTTACATAGCTCAGATCAACAGTCAGGGACTTTATGGAGTGGCGCCACGTCTTGGACTGGTCACCCTGAGCTTTCTTCCAACCTAATCCGATTTCTAGCATTGAACACCAAGGTAGGCGGTGGCTCGGCATGCACAATCCTTGTTCAAGCCGCTTCAGTCACTGAAGGTTTACAACCTCATCGACTGACTTGCTTTTCCTGCCTATTACCTTTCACCTGACCTCAATACTGCTAACATGGTGATTCCACAGTATGCGAGGATAGCCGAACAATTAACACTAGCATACAAAGAACAAGAGGACGAACTCATGAAGGCAGACAAAGGTAAATGGGAGGGGAAAATTTAGGAAATATAGTAGCAGGTGAGAAAACGCTGCCAGCTTATAGGATTGTGAATCTGTACCAGCTGAAATAACCAAGAAATGATGAACAATGACAACTTCAACACAATTTAGTCTCAAGTTAAAGATGGCTAAACCAGAATCAAAACTATAAGCACACCTACCAGCATATTTTCTCCTTTTTCGCCACTAGATCGCCAATTAGAAATTCATAAAGACTGACGTTTCAGACCTTAGCATCTACTTCATATCCTGTACGTAAAGTCGACCAAACATAGAAGGCATAATTTCCTGCTCACTACACAGAGAAACTGAAAGTAGGACAAACCTTGCGATGTCCTGCATAAAAATACTGTAGATATGATGGGATTTTACAAGATTTCCTGAGTGAGTGACTGGTGCCACTAGTCCATCTACGATACGCAGCGCAACTGGTCAGCAGAGTAAGAAGGTGCGTTTACAATTGATGCAACTGTGGTGGAAACTTTTTCAGACATCAGTGACGAACTGTTTACAGCGACTGAACTAGACTGAACTAGACATCCTTTGTACTGGATATCAAGTGTATAGCCATTTGATGCATATGCTGTCACCGGATGAGATTTCAGTGTTAAAACAAATCGAAAAACTAGGGACACATACTGCGTGGAAGGGTCATATCCAGAATTGAATTATATAAAGAAAGGCTTTTTTAATATCCACAACTCCCCTTCAATTTGCATCCCCCCTCCCCCCTCTTTTTACCAGACTGGGGTAATATAAAGTGAACTTGAAGTACAGGACGCTAAAACTCAATTGCCTAGCACGACCTAGGCATCGATATGTTCGATGATGAATCGAAAACAAATTAGGTTACGTAATTGTTGCCAACAGCTGCACAACGAATGATGTTTATTTTAAGACGGTGAGGGCACCACGATGAATGTACTGTTTGAATTCAGAAATACAGTCATAGTCAAACATATAGTCAGAGATATCTATTTTGCAGTAGTATGGACTTTTTATAATACCGACAGCTTCAAGTTTGATAAGACAAAGGTGAGTACTTAGCAGTAGATCTAAAGCCTCGGGGCAAAGTGATACAGGTTGGAATAGACTAAATGGATGAATAGAACCCATGAAATATCAAGATTTATCTCACTACTCTTATGAAAACATACCCTTTAGCTACAAAGGACTGTAAATTTCCAAAGTTCATTCCTAAATACACATGATCGGCGACCTTCAAAAGCCTGTAGCGCCAACTAAAGTAAGAAATCTAGGCATCCTTCAACGATCCAATATCCAATGCCAGTATTCAAGCTTTTGATACGATACTAAGGTGTTTGATCACAGAAAGATGATGAAACAGCCCTGCTTGGAAGCTTAAAATACTAACTTTACGGGGGATGAATGAATCATATTGTTTCAGAATGGTGAATATTGGATTCGAGGAACGGTTTAAGTTTTCAGGATAAAGGATATTAAGCCCAGTAGATCCTTTCTAAGATTTAGTTTCCGCTCAAAAGTATTCACCAACGGAGCCCCTACCACAAGTTCTGGTGGCTTACCAGTAGGTGAGAGACTCTGAGGTCCGGGTTTTTTTTAACCTAGTGACTACCTTTTGGAAAATCACCCGTAGAAGGAATAAAAGCGCTAGGGAGATACGCACCCAAATCATAATGCAAGATGTGACATGCTAATTTATAACCGCCTTTCCTACTTTATGAGAATGGGGGGAAGATTCAGGATTCCCCAATGGCTTCCTTTCCGAAAAGTGACCTAGTACTCAGCCCTTTTGACCACTCTACAGTATACTTTTTTGTCACCTGAGGCGAGGACTAGCTACTTGTGTGCAGAATTCTGGATGATTTATAACTAATGCAAGACAGTGTTTTAAATGTTTCTTCATCAAAGCACTTAAAGCCCCTGCGGAGTGACCCTACAACGTTTAGACCATCCGGTTAATTCCTCTAAGTCGGTTTGAGATGCCCACCTGACTTCATTGTTGTGAAGAACCTTGCAAATCTTAGTGTCATCAGCAAATGACAAGGGTGACTTTGGAATACTTGGTAATTCATTCGTGTAGAGCAGAAACAAAATATATACCCTCTTTCCATCTCAAAGTGAATGAACGGTGCGTCGAAGTCAACGGGGATGATTACGGAGTAGTAATCTGCGAAGGTTTCAGTTAACACTACACTGATGACCATTTCCCCGCTATCAGTACTTCTGGTCGGGAACCTGTATGCACCCACTCTCCGATATTTGATGTGGAGGGGAGTGAAGTCTAACAAAGAGTCCGGGGGTTGGGTGAGGTCAGCATCACTCACCATTCTTGCCCCCAAAAGAAAGCTTATATGGAGAGCCACTCTACCCCTCCTCTGCACTCACTGTCCTTGTGGTGGAGTCCCATGTCCGCTTAACGTACCCAACTGTCGGAAGTGTCTCGTGACAGTTAGTACTTTGTTACAAACATAATATCAGAGCGTAAGTATTCTCGAAAAGTCCTCATCCTTCCTATTTTCCCTTTTCTCGCTTAACGATGCTGTAACGGTGAGGGGATAGGGGGAGAGGGCCTGACTGTGCATTTCTGCAAAAGCAGCATGAACGTTGTTGGTTTTTCGCCCTGAGTCGCCAGGCCCCACAGGACTGGCATCGCTCCATCCTTTGGAACTTCCATTTCAGTCTGTGGGAAGATTGTAGAGGAGCAATTTTCATCAATTGACATACTAGACCAACCAGCCTGTTTCGGTGTGACGACCCCTAACTTTGGACGTCTTTGTAGCTGCCGTCTATTTTCCCGTCTGGTACATCCTAATTTACTCTTGCACATGCATGCTATGCCACCCATACAATTATTCACACTATACAATGCTCGTAGAACTTGTGTCAGTGCAGCAATTAAATCAGATTGGGTGGCCACAAATCTATTTCAGTAGGCCATGCTGCCGTACTTTGGATAAAGTGATCATGTAGATTTAGACCACCAATAAGGAACCCCCAAATCCAGAACAACACCATGAAACAACTCTCGGATCTGGAACCTAATGTTTATTGCTACAACTGATCATAATGTTACCGCACAAACGCTTAGCTTCACTGAAAGCCTGTGGAGTGATTTCCTTAAAGTATTACACACTTCTTCTGGTCGCATCGTTCTCACATCCAAAGTGAGTTAATGAACATAAAACCACTGTTGAACTATAGTGGAAAGAAGGGTAGTGAAACTGTTGCAAACAAACAAGTGTGTTTGTTCCAGTATATGAACAACATTGGCAGGTTCCAGCAACAAAGGAGTCCATCCCCATTTTCAGCAGCCGTGGGCAGAGTATCGTTCTCAGCAATCGACCAAGGCGACTCCGGACGGACCCGTGATAGAGAGCGAAACAAAGAGATCACACACGTAGTAAGCATGCTCAGATTCGTGTTCCTAATAGTCCCTGATTACTCAGTTGCCATTTCACCCTACTCAGGGCCCCTGTGTGTGGTCGTGACTCCTACCCACCGACGCAAATGAGAATCCTCAACTGAGCAGAGTGGTGAGCTTTTCATTTTCACAAACGACATGTGTCTGCATCTATCAGTGATCAGTGCATTCATCGTCTAAAAGGTGAACGAAATAGACGGCTCCCAGGTACCCCACTGAGCACTCCCATAGTGACATAAGCCTCGCATGTCCGAGAGTAGCGGTCATTGCCTTCAGATGCTCGGTACCTCACTTGGTTCACACGACTCACGTAGCTTATGACTACTGTGGAAACATGAGTGCCTGGAATACAACAACTCTGTCAGTTCAAATCTCTCGTGGTTGACAGCAGCCAAAGGCAAGTCCATCATAATCAAAAATTCTACGTAGATATACCTCAGTTGTTTGAGACGTTCCATATATACACCACTAAGAGCTCAGATACGTTATCAGTACGATCAACACAAAAGGCATTGCAGTTTTTGGTATCATGGATAACATACGCAGGTATGCACACGCAAATACACCAACTGAAAGGCTGAGAAGTCACCCAGCTTGTCTTCAATAAATTCCCTGACAGCAGCTCATCACGCCAACGCCAACATATACATAAGTAGAGTAAGCAGTTCATCACTCCACTACATTATCCATGTTCACTAGATGTCCACCCTATCCCGTGGACCATGCTATGGTTTAATATGCAATAGTGAACCAAAGGACTTGAAGCTGTACACCGTAACTTCCTCCTTGCATAGTGACCTGCCTATAGGGGAAATGTTTCCAGGAGTCCAGCATCTAATTCATCTCTAGCCATATATTCGAGCAAGCAAGGCCCTATAACATTTCTTGGTAGAACCTCGTTTTTTGCTCCCAATGCAACGGACCGTATCATTCCATCATTAGTGACCTACACATTTTTCATGACTCGCAATACTACTTCTCTGTCTCTTACTTCCCCGTAGTGAAACCGAGATTAGTGGAGGCTGCACCCCTGTCCACAATCTTTGGTAAAGAGTGCCATTTATGAAAGTCGCTGGTCTCACTGACCACTTATACACAGCTTTTCAAGCTTGGTCCGCTAATTATGGGCATGGAACACGATCGGGTTCCTTCAGCTATTCCCTTCTTTTCGAACACTTACATCCTGAGAAAATGCATGCATTTATCGAGGCAGTGAAAATCTCCGCGACACCCACGTCCATGACAAACATGGATCAGTTTCATCGGTCCATCATATTTCTTTCTCTCGGAGGGAGAGAGTGGAATATTGCGGTACCTCCCCGACGTTTGTTTCTGATAGTAAGAGCACCTTGAGCAGCATCTTTCGTGGCACCTTCCGCATAATTTCGTTCACTTATCTTGGCCTGATAAAAAACCAGGAGAGGGATCGAATACTACCGTTTACAGACGATATTTTGGATGAAATCGTTTCCCAATATCATAAAATTATACTCCTTAGGGGGAATTAAGAACTCTTGGGGGATGCAGAGCGACGGCTAACTGGACCTTGACGGGTGCAAAAAGTAATTGAAAGCCTTTCTGCAGAATTTTCGAGACCAACACGGTGAAAACGTCGTGTGACCCTATCCCGAGGGTAAAATTCCTACTATGTACAAGTCAAACTTTTTCCAAAATTCCGTGTGTCTGAAGAATGCAGGGAGCATCAGCTTGTGTAGTTCAAAAGATAAAGAGATAAACTGCCAAAAATGAATAGTGAATAGAAAAAAGGAGGGCAAAGTGATAGAAATTGAGGAAAAACTGATGGGTGAGGGGCAGGCAGGTGGGAGTGAAACGTGTGGCCGAAGACAGGGCATATCGGAGAAAGATTTGCACGACCCCCTTTATTTAACCTCTACTTCTGCCTTTGCCCCGCTGAAATATCGACCGGGGTGCAAAAATTTGTCTTATACACCGCTCACTCCTACGGTGATTCGCTAGGTGTTCACTTCCTGGCACCCCAACAAATATTCTCCAGTGAGATGCTGTGATACCGAACACCTTAAGAGCGGAGAGTACCCGAAATTATGCATTTTTTCAGACCATATTATTTTTTGGGGACCTACCGGCTCCGGAATTTGCTAGAGAGGGTTTTCTGGGGTCAACAAGGCAGAAGGGATGGAAACTTGTATTGGAATAGTTGTTTGCCCGGTAAGATATCAAACTTTGCTCATGGGTAGCCTCTGCCAACTATCTGTAACGCACTCATCAAATATTGCGCCACTTTGATGCTTCTTTCAGAAGGTGCAAAAACGAAGACAATAATTTAGACCCATAAACATTTCCTTGCAGCAAGATAGGCCCATTTCATATTATTTTCCTAACCTTTAGACTTGTGCATAGCTGTTAAGGTAGACGTTTTTGGCGTACAGTATGAACCGCTAACGGCCTCTCATTGTTTGTTCTTTCAAATATTACTGGCGTGATAATTTGAAACAATTATCCCCTTTCACGAATTTGGATAATGTAGTTAGAGGACGTAGATTATCTGAAAAGTGTGATGCATTAGCGCTATGTATTCCGAGCAATAATGATAATGTTCGAAAACTGGTGTCCTTCCTGATAAAGTTCGCCATACGAAGCTAAAACCATTGTTACCTTATACGCTCAACTCATTTGGCACATTAACTTTGCAGCTGAAGTGCGTTATATTATGCGGTTACGGTACTAACCGACTAAAGACATTCAACTAACCATACCAACCGTCATTTTGGACAAGACTCCTGTTGGTTGCCGGTAACTTCACAGACCAGGTCGCTTCGGAAAAACCATTCAATTAAGTAAGTATCCACTTTTGTGAAGCAAA